TGTCCATGATCATTTATAAGCTCGAAGTGTGTGGTAGTCATACATAAAATTGTCTGTAACTACTGCAGAATGAAAATCATGTGTCTGGAACCTCGAGCAGTGAGTGTGAATTGTAGGGGAGCTGGTATCCCCGGGTTCTTTGCACAGCCCTCTTTTAGTGTATGCCTAAATGGAGGTATATGAAGAGCGGGAACTTGGTGGATTAATTAATCGAGTCTCGGGCTCAAGTGGTGTTCTCTATGCGGTGCAGCTGATGATTTACGGAATGTCTGCAGGATATATAGAGCTTGCCACGTAGATTACACCTGTTGTCTTTTCAACACCAGTAATTTATTATTTTGCCCTCTCTCCTCTATTCTCATCTGAATCCCCTCGGAGCAACCCGCACAATTACACAAATATGTTGGATGTCCTTTCACCAATCACCAATTGATCATCAGCTTACTTGACCATATTGCCCGATCCAGACATCAAGCACCTCTTGGCGAGCGAAGCAAAGCAGTCTACCCTAAAATGCACATGACGAGGCACACGGCTGGAATATGCAGCTAACAACCGTAAACATGGACTGGCTGCGGCTGACGATGCTCGAGGAAAGATTGCCTTCAAAAACATTCAAAACATTCAACTCTGGGTCTTATGCGATGGGAATTACACCAAATGATGTGCCTCGACAGTGTGATTCAACTGAGACAAGAATTTAGCCAATAGATGAGAAAAAACTGCCATGGAATAGGAGAGGCATAAGCATTATTATGCTGCAGGTTGCTGTTTGCTTCGCAAGCATTTCGCGCTTTCGGCAGATCCCTAGTAAGCTAGCTCCTCGGTACAGCGAGATGTCCAGGTGTGAGGGAAGTGTGTCCTGCAGTGCCACAGTCTTGGGGTGCACAATACCATTTTCCAGTGGCATCATTGCAGGGTGCACAATGCCTACACCTTCGGAGTCGATCGCTGTGCTTGTTGAAGAGTGAGTTCAAACAAGGCTCGGATCAAGCCGTCATTCTCATGTTCATTGTTGATGACGGTTTCGCACTTACGTCTCAACAGAAAGAACATATTTTAAGCGCAGCGCAAGTCTTGCCAGGGTTCATCTCTATCTTCAATTTTTGCACACTCTCCCCAGCCGATGTACATTGTCTCTTACCCAAGTCCGACATCAACCTCGGTAAATTCTATTACTTTGAAGACCTCAAACAAAACAATAGAACACATTCAATTATCCAAGGCTATAAGTACGTATACGCTCCTACAACTTCTACTATATGTACAATTTCGATTCGATTCTGGATTGGGACTGGAGTGGGGGTGTGGTGTGATGTGATGTGAGTGTCCGTGCATCCATGCACCTCACGTTCTCCTCATGCTGTCCTGCCTCGCATTTCCCGTGCGCTGGCGTCCTTCTGCCCGCCTCGCGTTTGCGAGCAGGAGGACGAAATCGGAAGGAAACACGAAGGCACTCTCGGCTCGCCAGCCGCGCGCAACGTAACGCAGCTGACGTGAGACCCGAGGAGGCCGTAAACGGAAGCGAGATTTGTGGCCGCAGTCGTCGGTCGAGTCGCCGAGGGTGTACAGCGAGCCGAAGCCGAAGATGACGAGGAGGGGAGGGAGTCGGTGCCGAGGGTGGAGTCGGAAAACGAGTCCGTCCGGGGCAGCGAGTCGAGGGAGAGTCCGTCTGAAGCCAGGCGGGCGGGGCCGGACGAGATGAGGAAGGAAACAGAAAATAAAACGAAAGTCGGATTTTGAATTCGGATTTCAGATTTCAGATTGAGTAAGAAAACAGATGAGTCGATGAGATAGAGATGGAGAGGGAGGAAGGTAGGGAAGGTGGGTACGCGTAAAGCGTATATCGTATATCGGAATCCATATTGTATTGTATGTGTATTGCATGCCGGAGTCGGGGAGATGGCAGAATCGCGCGAGTCGAAGGAGAGCCGAAAGCCGAAGGAGAGCCAAGAGGAGAGTTGGAGTCGAAATCCGAGTCGGAGCTCGCCTACTTCTTCCCCGCCAAAGTCAAGCCCCTCATACTCTCCTCCAAACACTCCGCAAGGTGCACCGACGGGCACTTCTTCTCCTGCTGCTGCTGTACACTCGGCGTCGCGGCCGCAGCCGTAAGCCTCGGCGACACCGGTGCGATCTTCGGCGAAGCCGGAGGCTCGACATCCACCACCCGCACCACCGCCCTCCCCTCGAGCACCTTCCGCACCTTCTCCGCGTCCCACCCTCTCGCTCCCGCTCCCCCTGAACTTGACGCCGAGGAAGACGAAGCGGATGAAGAAGGCAAGGAAGAAGACGACCCCGCCTTCCCCTCCGCCCCCGAAAACGCCTCCCAAAACGCGCCCCCAAGTCTCTTCAGCAACGTCTGGCTCGCCATCGCCGCATACATCGCCGTCTCCCTCTCCCTCTGACTCTGGCTGTCCTTCTCCCTCTGCACCTCGCGCTGCACCTCCCGTTGCCGCGCCTGCATCTGCGCCTGCGCCCCGCCCTTGCCCGAGAGCGACAGCCCCGCGAGCGCAGCCGCGAGCCCGTTCGCCCCGGCGTTGCTGCCACTCGGACTGGCACTCGAACCGAGCGTCGGATTCGCGAAATACTTCGGCCGCATCCCGCCCGCCAGACCCGACAAGCCCGCATGCGGCTTTGCAGCAGCCGCGGGGTTGAAGAACGGCGAGGGCGCAAAGGCGCTTGCACCGTTCGAGGTGGGCGAGCCGTTGGAGAAGGGCGAGGCTGCGCCGGAGAACGGCGAGGGGTGGGTATGTGTGTGGGTATGGGAGTGGGGGTGCGCGTGTGCATGGGGGGGAGAGTTGCCCGCGGTGGGGGAGGAGGTGGGGGAAGTCGACGAGGAGGATGTAGGCGAGCCAGCGGCAGCGCCGTGCTCCTTGTTATGTCTGTACTGCGCGGCCATGCGGCCCCAGAGGTGCATGCGGTATCTGCGAGGGTAGGCGTTAGCATACGCAATTCAAGACCGTAGAAGGGGAGTAGGAAAGAGACTTACGCATCCAAACTCCGCACCGTAAACGGATTCACGTCTCCCCACGCAGGGTCCTGCGCCGGCGCGCCGGTGGCAGCACCGAGCCCCAGGCCCGAGCGCAGCACCTCCGTGACCGGACTGTTGTTGAGCGCGGGGTTGAGGTTCTCTTGCTGTTGCGGGGCGTTGGTGCTCTGTATGACGAGAAGAACGCCAGTCAGCATATGTATGACGACGGGACGACGCAATGAAAGCGAGGGGTAAGAGAAGAAACACCCACCTCAGCAAACGGACTCGCACTCCACGCCCCCGCTCCAAACAGCTCGATCCGATGCGCGGTGTGCACGCTCGTGTACCCGCCCATCCCAACCCCGTGCGCCCCAGCCCAGAAGCGCGAATTCGTATTGGAGGTGGAGACGTCCTTGAGCGTATGTGCGGCGGGGAGGTCTTCTTTCTTAGTCGCCGACGACGACGAGGGGGAAGACAAAGACGGGGATGCGAGTGCTGACAAAGATGGTGAGGAGAGGGGAGCGGGCGGGGGGAGGACGGGCGCGGGTCCGCGGTTATCAAGGAGCGTGCGCTTGAGCGCCGCGATCTCTTGCCGGAGCGCGAGGTTCTCCGATTGTGTTGAGCCGAGCTCGGATCGGATGGCGGAGAGGAGGCGGTCGCGCTCGGCGATGTTATCTTCGAGGGTGGATATGTATTCTGCGGGGAAGTGTTAACAAATATGATTTTTGAAAACGACCAAGACAAAGAACGAACCCTTTCGTCGCACACGGAAATTGCGCGCACTAATCTTATTCCTCAACTGCCTCTTCTCCTTACTGCTCATCTTCTGGAACACCTCGGGCGGGGGACGCCAGTCCGCCGGCAGGTCGTCATCGTCGTCCTCATCGTCACCTCCCTTGCTGCCACCGCGCGGTTGTGGCTTGAAAGTGGTAGTCGGCATGAAGGAGTTGGCCGCGGTGTTCTCTTTCACCGCAGAAGTTGAGTACGCCGTGGTCGAGACGGAGGAGGATGAAGACGACTTCTTGATCCCCCCGCTGACGACGGTGCCCTTGCGGGCCTTGCCGTGCCCGCCCACCTTGACGGGTGCGATCGTCGTCGTCGTATCTTCGGGCGAGGTCGCTGACGGCGAAGTCGAATCATGCTGGGAGGAGGACGACGATGACTCGAAGTCGGAGAACGAATTCACCGGTGCGGGGGAGCCGACGAGCTGCGGGTCGATGCCGAGCATGGCGCTCATCTCTGCGCTGGACATGGTCGTTGTGTCCATCCCCATGCTGGCGCCACCCCCGCCGCCGCTCGAGAAGCCTCCAGCGCCGACGCCGAAAAAGTCGTACGGCGCGCTGGAGAGCATCGCGAGGGGGTCAAGGGCCTTGACGTCCTCGTCCAGGAAATTGAAAAAACTGGGCGTGGGCGAATCGCCAGCGATTTCGGGAAAGGACGAGGCGGGGGGCTGTTGCGGGGGTGTGAGGAGATGCGGGGTGCTCTCGCGCGAGCCGGAAGACTGCGACGAGGAAGACGCTGCTGAGGAGGGGAGCGAGAAGAGCTCAGTGTGGAAAATATCGTTGAGGTCCTGGGAGGAGTAGTCGGTATACGGCGGGGCGAAGACCGACTGGGCCATTGGGCTGTCGACGAGCATTCTGTGTGGTTGGTTGGTGGTGGTGGTTGTGGTTTGAAAGCAAGGATAGAAAAGTGCTGCTGTGCGCGGTGGGGACGCTGCTGACTAAGTGTGGCAACTCTGCCGCGCAAGCGGCGGCACCCCAAAAAAGATGCTGACTCGTCAGCATCTCCTAAGCACACCCGATTTGTTCCACCACATTCGATGCGCGCCACGTACACAGACATGCAAAACAGGCGAGTTGCTGCGCTCTGACCCTATCGCCGCCGTCCCTGCATCACATCGTACCCCGCAACCGACTAAAGCGTTACCGCATTTCTGATGTACAACGCACAACGCCCCTAACGCAATTTCTTTACCTAACTTCGGCCGAAGCTGCTTTCAATTGATGCACCACCCTCTTTGAGTCTTCAACCCTGCATAGATCAATGGTAGATCGCCTTCTCAAATTCCGCAAAGAATCTCCTCTTCTGAAGGAAACAGAGGTTCGATTCCTCCTGCGGGCATTCTCCGCAACGTTTAGTTTTTACTTCTTTCTCATTTTTGACTGTTTATTGTAACACCTTGACTCTGCCGTTCGACTAATTATTTTTCAAAGTCCATTGTCTCAGACGCATACTTAATAATTCCACAATCCTCTACTAATGATTATCTGCCTGCAAACTCTTCTGCAAAGCCCACAGGGATCAGTGGTAGATCGCCTTTGTCTGGTAAATGTGCCACTTTGGTTAAGTAAAGGAGGCGGAGGTTCGATTCCTCCTGTGGGTACTATCTCTCCGATAGCATGTTTTTGTTTGCCTTCGACGACTTCGTTTCTTTGTCAAGTTACATCCTTATTATATGTGTATTTCTTCCCTGAGACCGGTATTTTTCGTGACAAGTTCATGCCATCCAAACATTTAATACTTTCTCCTCAAAGATACCAGTGTGTTAATCCACCCGTCAACACGCCTACATGGATCATGGATCAGTGGTTAGATCGCCTTCTACGAAGGATATGCATATCGAATACTCAGGAAGGAGACGGAGGTTCGATCCCTCCTGTGGGCATTGAATTTGATAGCCTTTGCATTTTGACACTTTTTTGTTTATTTTCTTTTCACTTCCTCGTTACAAACGCTATTCTAAATACGGGGCGTGTACTTACGATGATTTTTTGGCTCCTCCTTCAACCTGCTGTTCTAATAATGTTCGCCTTGAAGTCGTAACCTGACCCGACCTACTTGGCATATGCTAACACTTGTCTTGCCACTAAGCCCATGGACCAGTGGTAGTTAGCCTTTGCTTCCCCCTAACCTCCAGAGGAGCTGGAAGTTTAATTCCTCCTCCGGGCATATATTTCGGAGTTCATTTTTTTTGATTTTGATTTTGATTTTGATTTGCCTTATCCCTCACATCATTATATTTCTCCCATGACAGCTGGGCTTTTCGTGACAAGTTCATACCATCCAAACTCCCATTTAATCCTTTCTCCTCAATGTCCTTAACCTACTTGTAGTTCGCGTCTTCCATCAAGCCCACATGGATTAGTGGTAATTACAATATCACCTTTGCTCACTGCATTCTGGTATTCAGAGTCGTAGTATAAAAGGAGTCGGAGGCTGCTTTCAAATAAATAATTAATCACTCTATTACTTTGGTATGATAGATGGACACCCCAAAGATTCAGCTGTCTATCATGCCTGCGTAGATCAGTGGTTAGATCGCCTTCTATAAATGCTAGACTGTAGTCGTTTTAGGAAGGAGGCGGAGGTTCGATTCCTCCTGTGGGCATGCTGTTTACGATAGGAATTTTGTTTCGATTTTGCCTGCGATCCTCAACTTACATCCCTCATTTCATTATGATGCTCCTCGCGAGACCCATATTTTTCATGACATCTTCATATTATAATCATCCAAAACCCCCATAATTTAATCCTTTCTCCTCAAAGTCTTAACCAACTTGTCTTGTTATAGGTCAAGTTTGCCTCTTCCAGCGGTAAATCCCCTTTGCTCACTGTGTTCAATAAGTTTCAGAGTTGTACTGTAACTCATTAAAAGGAGTCAGACGCTGCTCGGTGCTCATAAATAATGATTACTCTATCAATATGGTATGAGAGATTAAGTAAAACTAGGCTGAAAGATTCACTCATCCATGACGCCTGCATGGATCAGTGCTTAGATCACCTTCTATGAATGGGCCCATCCTTTGATTTCAGGAAGGAGACGGAGGTTCAAATCCTCCTGTAGGCATGATATGGTATCGCATTTTTTTACATAAAAAAGAATCGGATTCTCTTTATTTATCTCTCCTCCATACACTAGCCTGCGAGTCGCCTGTTTTGGCTGCAGCATTGACGGGTGCTCCTGAAATTGATTGTTTAACGAATGGCATCAGCTTGGAGAAACGGCCTGGGTTAAGTTACTTAACCTGGTTCCGAAGTCTACATCTGAGTCGGTCCTGCGGCGCTTTATTTTTTATCTCTCCTTCTGTTCCGCTGAAAACGCTGCTAGGTCTGGAAATCTCCAACACTATGATGATGCCGGGCGGCAATCAAATCGCAGCATGAACGAACCGCAACCCCTTTTTTCTTTTCTCCACGTTGACGAAAAGGAAGCTCGGCGAAGGAGGATGATTACTGAAGCTCTGTGGATGCCGGACAAAGTTCGCCCAGCTACAGTGAAAGCCAGGCTCTGATCCCATAGGTTGACTTTCTACATCCACAGTGCCGGCCGAGATGATCAACGCGGAGTTGCACTGGCAGCGAACGACACATCTATCTCAAAGACAAAACCCCTCCCACATGTCTTCACTCCGCATTCACTCATGCGAGATTTTGCTCAAGAATTGGTCGATTTGGTCATCGACAAAACGATATCGCTGCGACCGCCAGTACCAAAAATATAGGCTCGTGCGGCCGTGTCTGCAGACTATGGCTGTCTCGAAGTAGGATGCATCTCTTTTCAAGCATCACCCTGTCAACCACCGATCTCACTGCTATGCAAGCATTCTTGGATCTCATCGACGCCTCGTCCGAGGACCCTGAATATATGCTTCAAGAATGCGTGGGTCCCCGAGCCTTATATAACCCGATTGTAGAGTTTCTCCGCCCTCAGGGAGCTTTGTATCAATATGCTACATTCCATGCCCAATCCACACCCACATCTCACGCTTTGGCGTTTCCTGCCCGCCTCTAACGCGATTCGAATCGGAATTCCCAGGTGATATGTTGCTCAACCTTATTGCTGATCTTATATCGGCCCCGTCGGAACATCTCTGAGCTCTATCGAGGAGCTGGCTTATTATTTCAGTGGGTGCTCTCACAAGCCTCCGACCTTCACGTCTCTGACACTACGTTTTTTACTCTTTGGGAGGCCTCGCAGATGATTGTAAAAATTGTATTCATCGCTGTTGGTCCCTTGAAAAACATAAATATCAAGATGAGAATTATGAAAGCGTACCATTGATGAGAGGCACGGTGTGAAGGATCTAGACTTTGTGTGGATAAAGGATGACACCAGATGACACCCCTGGAAGTGGTGCTGTACTGGCATCTGGTCCTAGAGGATGAAACTGGATGAACTTGCGCAAATAGGGGCTAATTTCCGGAAGCTACTGGATGAGATACAAAGCTCAGGGAATGCCTTGAGAGGTCTTCAGGCATGCTTAATAGTCTCATATGGATCATTTGAGACGCTTGGCTAGGCATTGAGATCTTTGGGATGACGGCACATGAAGTAGATGGTGGTTGAGGTCGAGGTTGTAACTGAACTTTGGATACCTTTGGGGTCGAATTGTGCATGCATAAAATGTAATCTGTATAGACCTCCTCAGAATGTGGGGTAAATTTGGAGGGCATAGAGCAATCATACTGATTTGTTTGTGTGTTTCGTTGCAAGAGGGATTCTAAGTTTTGGATAAGATAAGAAAAAACCAAAGTTGACCCACGTTTATTCGCCATCCGATTGGTCCATGACTTTTACGGGAATGGAAGCGAGGAAGCGGTAGGCGGAGGCACGTAGGCGGCGTGGCCTGCGAAACGGTGGTCTGCATGGAGGTGAGACTGTGACTGGCACCAGTCACTCTCGTTTCCCACGGTTGAATGGACCTTCAGTTGTGGTTGGATTCAAATCACTGCCAGACATGCTCACCCACTCGTACAGTGTCCGCATCGACTCCATGAAATTGTCGATGCCTTCCCAAAAACAGGATCAGATGTCTAAGATCCATCTAGCAAACATGATTTTTGTTGCAGATGCAGAGGCCTCCGTGAAGATGTCTGCAGTCATCTTGCCTGCAATCATTTTTTGCTCCTCTGTTGCTGAACACACGTCCCCGACGCGGTGCATCTCACCGTTCGTTTGTGTTTCATCTCTAGCTTGGAGGCGCCATGAAGACGGAGATACTTTAGATTTTCTGCGATGGTGTTCGTCTCCAGGCACGTCTGATGCATCATTTCTCGGGTTATGCCCACGTTTGTGAATACAGTGTCTTCAGCGTGACTCACGGAAACTTGCAGTAGGTATAAATGCTCGAACTCCTGACAAAAAAAAAAAACCATGGTGAAATTTACAATCGTCAACGGGCCAGAATGATATTCTGCCGCTTTTAGGACATAACCACAATCGAAATGAGGCACACACACACCCCGCTTGATTCAAGCCGCTTCCAAGAGCCGCGCTGCGATGCTTGCCGAGTCCCTAGCCCTCCACCTCCAGCGCATACGGTGGCCTCCATTCCATCTGTGCTCGACGTGCTGGCTAAAATATCGACAGCGGAAACGACACAGGCACCCATTTCCTGCTCGAAGAAAATCCCGCAGGTATCGCAAACCCAATTGACCAAACGAGCCGGATATAGGATCGCACGGTGGCCTCCCAACTTTCTTGTATGGTCCATTATCGCTGTATATATTTCTTTTTCTTTTAGCATGTATTCATTCCCCTTTGCATTGTAAATTCCCATCTTGATGTTTGTGTATTTTTTTAGTGAGCAACAGCAATGAATGCTATTTTTACAACCAACCGGAAGGCCTCTCAAACAGCAAAAAAAAACGGAGGCGGCGCACTGCACGCGATAATAGAAGGCATGCTGGCCTCTGATGTCTTCCACCACATCACCTACCTGTGGCTGGGTGTGTTTGATTTAAATGGAAGCAGATCAATAAAAGCGACTTGGTCGCAATGGCACACTCTTACTCAACTTCTGGGTCTCACCCATCTAGCGCTATTAAACTCCACCTCTCTGTGACCGACCTCTTGGCTCAGTTTTCACGCCTTCGAGCCCTTATCATTGACTCGCGAGAATCAAACCTAGTCTTCCTAGTCACACCATAGATCGAGTTATTTTTTTTTTGAGAATTTGAAGAGTGCAAAAAAATAACCTGTAATTAATACTGGCCTTGGAAGAACTTCATGATCTGGGTCTCGTCTTCTTTTTCATCACGTATATCATCGGGAATTGGGAAGTGGGAATTTTGAGGGGGGTGATAATATGTGGACATTATACTCCGTGAGCGACGGAAGAGGCAGATGGTACCTTTTTTCTATAACAAACCGAGGTACGAGGTAAGAATTGTTATAGTATCTGTTTATAAGAGACTAACCTTTTTTCGTCGTCTCATGAACCACAAAGCTCACGGCTCACCAGTATCGCTCGACAGATACGAAGCCTTTCCCACTTTTCCATGCTAACTGCCCCACAACTGTCCACATAGGAGAGACTCCACAATAACGCAACATAATGAATAAGATATCGGGACATCCATATCTAGCTTTCATACAGTCTTCTACTATGCTGCAACGTCCTTCATGGAATAAGCGTCGACCTGCGACTCTGCATCGTCAAGTCGGTCCGTCGTGGACTTTATTGTGACGTTGATGTTGACATTATCCGTCGTCTTCCCCTGGTCTGCAGTCGCATGGGAGATGAATTGCAATCCGCTAAACGCTCGTCCAGCTCCCCACCCACCACGTTCGGTTTGATCGAAATCTGTGAATTCGTCATCTCGACGCGGGGTCGAGCGGATGATGATAACATTGAATGTAATCCCAGTCGCTTGAAGAGCCTATTCCGAGAAATCAGTTTAGGACCCCTAAAACAGGATTGTACCCACAGCATCGGACACAGGGTACAACGTATTGCTGTTACATATGCTCACCACGAAGGTCACAAAGACCAGCGTGCTGTATGCCAGACCCGACTCCGCCACTACTCGGATAACTTTGCGGAGTGGAGATTGGTTGATGGGAGCGGACAGCGAGGTATTTCTCGAGGCTCGGAACTTTTCATTTTGGTGCTCGACACGCCATATACGCCACACAAGCAGAGCTAAAACAAAAAAGGTAGGCAATAGAGACAGAAAAAAGAAAGCAGCGGACTTACAGGTTGTGAGAACATTTTGGGCTGCAGTAATGGCGAAAAAAGCAGACCACCACGGTTTGATGACATTGGAATTGAGAGTAATGGCGGCGTTGCTGGTCGTGATTTCAACATACATCAACTTGATGCTCATGGCAATACCAGCAAGGTAGAGCGTAAATGAGACCCCGATGGCTGGCCACCGCCGACCATAAACGACGAAGCATCGGTATATGAGGACGAAATCGCCCACGATCATCATGGCGATTTGGTCAAAGGACTGAGAATTTTTTAACTACGGCGAGCGACGACCAGATGTAGTACTCACCCTCACAATGTTAATCCACTCATGGATATTTGTGAGCTCTCCTTTGGCTCCTCCTGGGCCTGTGTATTTCACAAAGGCCAGGATCATGTGCACCAATCCGATGATGTCGTCGAACGTGCTCACAACGAAGAGGAAGCAGAAGACGCTGACCAGCAACCACCGGGTCTCACTTCGTCGCCTCAATCGCTCCCCTCCTCCGGGCTGTGGAATCCAAAACAAGGTTTGGGCGCAAAGACAGCATGTCACCAAGTACATGCCATAACCCAAGGTTTCGAAATAATGGCCGGTGAGCTGAGCTTCTGTTATAGGGAATACATTAGAGTCATCTCGGGGGGTAATCATGGCGGATGAGGGGAAAGAGCTGAGGTGTACTGCCGCCGGTGGAGTAAGAACCAGCGGGATACCTTTTGGTGCCTTACTATAAGTATTTCCGTTAAACGCGAGAGAAAACTACCAAACTCAGTGGGTAACGATAGCGGCAGTCAATTTACTGAAAGTTGACAGCCAATGAATGCTCGGTGTGATCCGGGGCCTGCAGTGTACGACCCATATATATATTTAATC